GTGAATTTCAAAGGACACTTGTTCTACACATCTATTGAAGTAATTCAACGCATTTAGACAATTTAGAATCTTCTTCTATGAAGGGATATGACTCTTGGATTAAATTACACATCTTTTAAATTCAAACTAGTTAATTTTTTAAGGGAATTTTGAATTCCTTTCCAAAGGAGGCAGCCCAAAATAATAGAAAAAGACTTCATAGACTTGAAGGAGGCTTTTGGGTGTGGCGTAAGAGAGAAAGAAAGGGGGTGTGAGTTAGAGATAGAGAGAGAAGAGGAGAATTTCTTTTAGGGTTGTAAGAGGAGAGGGAATGTGAGAGATTTCTTCTTCATTAAAATTCTAAGAGAGAATTGAGAGTGATTTTAGAGAGAACGCCTTGGAGAGAACTTCTAGGGATTTGTTCTAGGGATTTGTTTGGGATTTGTTTGGGATGGATTGTGAGATAATTTGTATTTTTATTTCTTTTGTTTCGTAAACTTATTTTTATATATGAAATCCGTGTTTTATCGTTTCCTCATCATGAATTATGAGTAGTCTTCTTTATCTTTCTCCATACTTTGAGATATGGTTTTATGAAGAATAGATTTGTTTTCCACAGTTTTAAATGATAATAATTTGTGATGATTTGAACTTCGATCTTCATTTACTTTTCAATCTGACCAAATAAAATGTTAAAACTTGTTTTAAAACTTGTTGAGATACATTTGTCCTTAAATGAGATATGCCTTCTACAACATACGGAGAATCACATTTAATTTCATGGGAGAGTATGTCATCCATAGGATTGGGTGCAAATAAATAGAGAAATATATTTTGTTGGATGTAGAATTAAAGATTTTAAGGTGACAGATTAAAATCCTCAATTTTGCCCACTTGATTGAAAATTAATGCGAGATTGTTAGCCCTCATGGGAGGGAGTAGTGGCAGCTATAGGTGGCAGCCTAACCACGAAATTAGGGACCAAACTCTGAGCACAAAACAGTGTATATATATATATATATATATATATATATATATATATTTAAATGATTTCAATTTCTTCACAATCCATATACTCATTGTAAAGGAGAATGATGCTTTCTTAAATTTGAACTTTCCTTCACAACAAAAAATTTTTACTTTTAAAAATTTAGTATTTAGTTTAGTTTAACTTATTTAGTCGTACATCTGCATTTTAATTAACATTCACTTGAGTAGTTAATTTTCAAACTTCGCACTTTACTTTTACTTTTATTTTTGTTTTTGTTATAAAATAATTTTCATAATTTACTTTAGAATTTTCCAACTTCCCTATAAGATCGATATTTAGCTCTCCATTAGAGCTGTTTATTACTTGAGTGATATGTATACTTGCGTCGAAATTAAAGGCGATTTGACAGTTTAAAAAGAGTTTTAAAAGATAAATTATTTATATAAAGAGTATTTTTTTGGGGATTATATTGCTTGTTTGGGGATTATATTGCATATTTATTATATATCTGTCGTGTGTAATTTTGTAATATTGAAAAATATTTACAAAATTCTCACACTAAATCTGCCCGCATCACTGCTCGATGTGGCAAATATGGTAGCTGAAGGAGGTGACATCGCCCTGGAACTCTTGAATTTGCTTGACCATGGAGTGAGGGTAAGAAAATGCCAAAAGATGGCCAGGGGTGACTTTTTTGGAACTCTTGTAAAATTGGATACTAACCTTGGTGATAGTACCCTTGTGGGAGATATACTCCTCTCTCCTAACTACTTTGACAACAACTTATTAGCAGAGCACATAAATCAGAGTCGAGTGCCCGATCTCGACAATAAAGATACTGTGATCCATACAAAGTATGGATCTTATGTAAGTCAGTCGATGTTGATCATCAACGCTATATGGATCACACAGTTTAACGCCACGTGGTCCCAATTTACCTTGCTCATGTGTGAGATTGGTAGAAGCCTAATAGATATGAATTGGTACCAAGCGATGGATTCTTTGATTAGCCTGCGAGTGGAAAATTCAAGGGCTTCCTCTCTCGCACCTTCCACGAAACTCAGAAATTTACGTGCTAAGTAACACAAAGTATCATTTTAATTGGGTCCTTCATCGAGTAATTTATTGGAACCATCAACGATAAATCCAGCTAAGTCGTACATGTGGTTGATTGTTAAGGTGTGAAAAGGGATCAAAATGCCCCTCATGAAAGCTCGGTGCTTCACGTGCGCATGAGCGTTGGCCATGAATTCACAGACTAATGAGATGACCGTGAATTTGGGCATGATAACAACAATTTTCCAACCCTGGTTCGCAATTATATCCTCTACGACACTACCCTGAGTTTCAAACCCACGCTTCGGCATAAGCTTTTGGTATTTCAAATCCTCCATGTACCTAAACTGGGTTGTGGTGTTCATAACCTGTTGAGCTTCATACATCTCGTTAGTGTGGTGCTTTCCCATTTCAAAACTGCACTCATGGTTAAGTAACAACATAAATTTCCTATCATTTGCATGAGGATTCACTTGTGGGCCTCAATACACTTGATTTAATGCCTCGATGTCGGGCCATGAAGCCGAAGGTTGTGGTAGGTTTCTCTAAATGTGTGAAAGTGCATTCACAGGGGTACAATAACCACTTTTGGCATTGCAGCGCTAACTCGAAGTGTCGTGATGCTTCACAAATTTCTTTGGCGTTGCAGTGCTGCCATTCGGCGCTGTGACGCCATATCTTATTTTTTAAGGGGAGTTGGACCGCCTCAAAACATCCGCAGATTAAGGGTCTGTTTGGGGTAGATGCGGCTTATTGAATAATCTGCTGATAAGCTAGGTGCAATGACTATTATAAAATTTTATTTTTTTGAAAAAGTCAGACCGCTGTCAATAAGCTGCCCTGCAACTAGATAAGTGTGGTGTGAAAACGTTGTTTTCTGCGTTTTGAAAATGCATAAGATGTCAAAATGCAGTTTACCCAAACATGTTAGGTGCGTTTTTAAAACACCACCGCACCAAATAAGCTGCCCCAAACGGGCCCTAAGTTTGATTGTGTTTTAGATGGGGTTGGTCACTATGATGCACCAAAAATGATGCCAATATATCTAATAGGCAAGTGTGTATGTATCATATCATGATTCTAAACAAGGTTTTGAAAATCAGACAAATCGGAGTTCAATCGGATGACCTAATAAATCATAAATATATTTAGAAATGACAAAAATAATATTTATAAAATAAATCATAAATATATTTAGAAATGACAAAAATAGTATTTATAAAACACTCAATTCCTATGTATTTAAACATCTAACGCCTAAAATTCAATTTTACATTTCATTTTATTTATGCATTCTCTTTTTAAAAATAGTAATATTTTATATGACATGGATGATTTTGGTGGTATAAATTTTAAAAAAATAGAGTTTATGCGTTAGATATGTAAACAAATAAAATTGGGTCACATATATTTAAATTAAATTTCTTCATACTAATAATGTTTTTGATGTTATATGAGTGATTTGGGTGGTATAAATGTACAAAAATAGAGTTTAAGCGTTAGATATGTAAATTACATAAAATTGGAGGTATAAATGTGAAAAAATAGAATTTCCGGTCTAGGAGTCAAATTGGGTGATTTTTGCCTGTTCCAAGCCGGCTCAAACCTTTTCAATGTGGGGGCAGTTTTTAAGCCAACCCGAACCGGACCACCAGCCGATTCACGGTCGAACCAATCCATTCACGCCGGTTTTCTAAACAGAGGTTCTAAGGTAATTCAGCCGGGCATAACCCAAAATACATACTTACTTCTTCCCCTTTCTTGGTTAGCATACAAAAATTTTGCAATTAGTTGTTCATTTTTCTTCACTCTTGATATATTAAACGCATATCAAGTCATGAGCTTCTTTGACATTGGCCACAACTTCATTTAAAATAGTCTCATACAAGTCCTTTTGATTACATATACATGCTTATGAGTCCGAGTAGTTGATTCAACCTTGTATATAAATATATAAATCATACCTTTATTAGTTGAATTTTAATAAAATAAAATAAAATAAAGTAAATTTGCACAAAATCAACGTAGCTTTCTAGAACATTCTAAAACATACAAAATTGGGAGCAAAAATATTTATGCGTGAAATACTAAGAGGTGGATGGTAAATTGGAATTTAGAATGATTTAATTTCTAAGCACGATCATTTAAATTTAATTATAACAAAATTAGTTAATGTTAATTAAAGATACAAGTAATATGCTGCCACATCAAGGTTATCGTGGGGTCATTGACGTGCAATCGCGGAGGTTATTTGGGGTTATTGTGGAGGTTAATGCACGGTTATTGAAATGAAATTACGGGGGTTATTGGAGAGTTATTGGAGTGAAACCGCGTAGGTTATTGAGGGGTTATTGAGTGGCTATTGCGGCATTATGAAAGTTAATACCTCAATAACCTCTCAATAACCCCCCAATAATCCTCTTAAATAATCTCTGAGGTTCCACTCCAATAAACTCCCTGATTATACTTTATATTTTTTATGTGGGTCTGATATAACACGCATGACGACATATTACTAGAGTCCGCAGATAGAACTACGTATGTACTCCATATGGAAAATTTTTCCGTGTGTGGAATCTCTCTCTCTCTCTCTCTTTATGATATGTTATAATGTAGAATCTAAATTAACGATGTCCAATTTTTTTCTCGAAGTAAGAGTCTATAAGACTCTAAACATTCAAATATCTTTTTATATTTTTACAATTAATTGTGCTATTAGTTGCAGCCATCCCAAACATATCCAGAATACCAAAAAAAATCCTCTAACAATGAAAGAATATCTCAATAACTCTAGAACATAAATAATGAAAATTCTAGTATATTCTTCATTTTGTGCATATGATAATAAAAAAAAAATGAGATAAACTATCAAATTGGCATATTTTCTCAAATCTTTGATCACAATATTCTAATAGAACCCAATCTAAACATGCAACAACCTAACTGCCACGACAATCCATCTCTCCATAACAGATCAGCCATTACAGGCACACAAACCTCCCCCATGAATCCCATGGCGACGCCAAACTGATTGAATCACCTCGATCAAAATCTCGTCCGGCTCAATTCCTCGACTAACCATCTCATCTATCAGTTTCCGCACGACGGCCCCCTCTCGCCGCGCGGCGTAGCCTGCAAGGAGGGCGGTGTAAGAGATCCTGTCATGGCTTCCCATCCTGTCGAAGACCTTGCGGGCGACCGAGAGTCTTCCTGACTTGCAATACATATCCACAACAGAGTTTGCAATGGGAAGATAACCCTCAAAACCATGTCTTATTGCATAGCAATGAAGCAGCTTACCAAGCCTTAAATCTGCACAATCAGCACAAAGGGCTAAGAGAATTACAATGGTTGTTTGGTTTGGCTGTGTTCCCGATTCGATCATCTGCTGAAGAACCAAAGATGCTTCATTGACATCGTTTAGTATTGCAGATGCGGCCATTATGGAGTTCCAGGTGACGACGCTTCGAGCCAAGCAATTCTGGAAGATGATGTGAGCGTAGCGAAGGTTTCGGCATTTCAAGTAGAATGAGATGAGGGCATTGCTGATGTTTTCAAACTCGTTGAAGTTGCTTCGAATCGTTAGGCCATGAATGGCCTTCCCTTGCTTCAGATAATGGACTTCGGAGCAGGCTTTTAAGGCAAGGAGTAAGGTGACAGAATCTGGAGAAGAAGGAGGTGATATTTGTCTGGATTGAGAGATCAATGTGAGTGCTTCGCTGTAATAGTTGGAATGGATAAGGCCACAAATTATGGTGTTGGAAGTCACGGAATTGAGCAAGAAACCCCCAATCCTCATCCTTTCCAGTAGTTCGGAGAAGTCGTCCCATCTTCCCTCGGAGGTATAGGCCAGAACCATGGAGTTCCAGCTGATAATGTCTCGTTCAGGCATCTCGTCAAACACCTTCCTGGCGTTATCCACTGCACCGCATTTGGCGTACATGGCCAGTAGAGCATTGTAGACGAATAAATCGCAGTTTGAATTGGTGAAATCTATATTGAGGTGGATTTGTTTTCCCAACCCGAGATTACGAAGTTCACCGCAAGCCTTCAGAATGGAGGAATTAGTGAACTTATCTGGCTTGATTCCTCTATCGAGCATCGTCCTGTAGCTAGAAATCGCATCTTGCCAGCGCTCTTTTGCAAGATAGGCGGAGATGAGAATGTTCCACGGGAAAGCAAGGGCCGCGGTGGAGTCTTCGACTGCGGCGCGGGCGCGATCGAGAAGTCCGCAGGAGGCGTAGAATGCCGCGATGCGAGAGACCGTGAAGGGGTTGGCCGGGAGGAGGCCGAGCGAGAGGGAAAGGGCGTGGAGGCCGGATCCATGTGAGAATGAGCGGAGGGCGGAAGCGGAGGCAAGGAGAGAGGAGATTGGGTGGTCGAGATGAGGAGAGAAGGGATGGGAGAGGAAGCGGCGGAGGTGGGAGAAGGCGATGACGGCGGCGGAGAGGCGGTGGTAAGAGGAGAGGTATCGGATGGTGGCGACAAGACGCTTCGTTCGCTTCGCCGGCGGCGGTCTGCGCCGCCCTGGTTTTGAGCTTGGGGAGCACCTTTTGATTTGCTTGAGGGAACGGGAATTCGGAGGGAGGATGGTGCAGGGCATTCGAGGGAGACCATTTCCAAATGCTTGGTTTCAGAAAGAAAAACTAGTGAAGTGAGCAGGTTTAGAAGGATTAAGCGTGGGTTTTGGGGTAATTTTATTAGCAGCTCTTTTTTTATTTTATTTTAAATTTTTTTTATTGGGGCACCACCCAATTCATATGTATATACATATATAACACAAACTTCATTTTATTTAAATTTATACCATCCAAATGTTTAATAATATATATATACTATATATGTATATATATATATATATATATATATATATACATGTATATATATATATTTATATATGTATGTATGTATGTATCCTTCAACCTTAGCTCAAAGGTTGAAGGAAAAAACCCTTTCTATGTGTTGGGCATTGATCCAACCACAACCCCACCTATAGAGTTGGTCCCTCTAATAGTCATTCGAAGAAAACAACCGCCTAAGACGGTTGAGATCGAGTCATGATTAACAACCGCCCATCCTTAATACGAAGATACTTAGCTGCTCCAAGAGCACAAGGTGACCGACAAAACACATCAACGATGAATTTCACCACTAGTACATATTAATATTACAATATCATATCTTTCACTCACACAAATATTATATTTCGCACCGACTTGCAAAATCTTGAGATTTTTATGAGTAGAGTTAACATACAAAACTTCAAAGTTTACTAAGCGCAACTTATGCCATTTTAAATATCATGACATAAATTTAATTTTAATAACATTAGAGATATCACAGCATATTACCACAACAGGACTGCAAAAAAGCAAAATAGAGCTACACAAAAAAAATGTCCAAAAGAAATGAAAATCATCCTTTGCTTCGAACTAGAAATTAAAATTTCTTCTACTACCAATTCTCGTCGATAGATCTTCATAAATGCGGCTAACCTTCACGATTCGGGGGTCATCCGGCGGTATTGGCCGAGCCTGAAACAAGAAAATTGAATAAATTACTAAAGCTTGAGCAAATAAAGTATTCCGTGAGAGTTAGCAATCCAAATAGAAGACAGAAAGTATTTGTTGGTAAATATGTTAAAACATACTAAAAAGAATAGAAGACAGAAAAAAGACTAACACTAAGTGTTGTATAAGTTAAACGGATTGATGGCTATGTCAAAAAAGTAATTTTAAAAAAGGATTTATTTTTAGAGAATTTTACATATAAACACAAATACACAATTCTTACGTATTTACATATCTAACACCTAAAGTTTTAACATTTTGGTGTCATAAACCTATGCATGAAAAAGTGTAATTCATTTCTTAAGAACTTAGTAATAGTGATATTTTTTACATAAGGTTAAATATTTGAGTAGCATACTTGTAAAAATGAAAAGTTTAGGGGTTAGATATGTAAATATATGCCTCATTTAAAAAACAAAAAATAATAACATAAAAAACGCACATCAAACAAATATATTTAAAAATAACATTGATACCAATCATACCCTAAAAACAATGGCCCAAGGTTAAATTTGTGTAGTGCTTTTTCTTAAGACAAAATTCAAACAGTAAAACTTAATAGTAAATATTTTGAGAGGGAAACTTTCTACATTGAAAGAGACAGCTTGAAAGAGCAAGAAAATGGCAATAGAATGCAAACAACATACAAAATGTCTGTGATGCATAAAATATTTTTAGTGCCTTGATTTTTTTTGGAAAATTTACATACCACGGTATTATTTTGTATTTACATATTAACATCAAGAGTTTGATATTTACATTTATAGCACTTTGTCATGAATTTATGCATGAAAAGGCGTATTTAAATTTTAACAAGAGAGAATAGTGGTATTTTTTATGTGATATTAAAGATTAGAGTGTTAAGTCTATAAATATTAAAGTTAAGATGTTCAGGCAAAGTATTCAGTCAACATAAACATGACTGAGTTTGTAACTACAGACTAGACAATGTTATATTCAAGGATCTATGATTACTCCCACTATTAATGGTTATTTGGCATCATACTTTGTCTCTATTGTTTTTTTTTTCTTTTTTATTTTTTGTCATGGCGGGGGGGGGGGGGGGGGGTGGAGGATTGAAAGGAGAGAGGGAGAAGAGAAAAAGAGGATTTGGAAAAATTCTATGTTTATTTTATTGCAAGCAATAGTGCTTATTTATAGCCATTTGCAACAGCAGTAGTTTTTATATACTTCCTAAACAAACTCCATAGAACGAAGCCTATTTACAGATAACAAAGGTAATTATGACAGACTTTAAAATTAAATTTATCCAAGGAACTTTAAAATTCAAACTCATCATAATTCTGCTGTAATCAAAATTTCAATCCAATGTTCTACATTTCCTACCTTCCAATCATTGGTCACCAAGCCTAGCAATGTTCTTCTCGATCTTAATTGTGTGATCCACGATTTACCTTGTCAAGGATTTACATTGGAAAATCAGACTACTAAAACTGCAACAAATACAATCTTTTCAAATGATTTGATGACCAAGTAATGATTATTAGATGATATAGTTGATCATGTACTAGATCTAATGATCAAATCAGAAGGCCAACTATAGGGGAGTCTGTTTTACTTGATGTTGATAAACAGTTAGTGTTTGACTCATAAAGCAACTCAAGCTTCACTCATTTATTAACTAATGAGCTGAACATGAACACAATAGCTAGCTTAATTTCTAAATAAATTTAAAACAACAAATCTTTGTTCATTTGTGTTCAACTCATTAAAGGTTCACTCTACGAGCAGCGATGCAGGGCTTTATTCATCAATTGCATGCTGCACAAGCTCATAACAAAGTGATTGTGATGTGTTGCCTCGTATCAACTGTGGCTCAAAATGAAATTCCAATTCAAATTATATGGTTTAATTCAACATGTATCACAATAACTAAGCACGAACGTCACACATTCACATTATTTTTCATAGTCATTGAGTTATCGTCCATTGGTTCTCCATTCCCTTCCACAAGAACTAGCCACTTCATGATGGTAGCTCTTTTCATGCTCTCTAGCTTGCTAATTTTCTTAAATGCATTGTGTTGGTTCTTGTTGTTAGCACCAGTTGCAGTCGAAAAAACAGAGAACTTCATTAAGGTCAGAGAGCCATTGCCCAACCTCAAATTTTTATTTTCCCCCTTAACAAAGTGCTATTATTTAAAAGTTTGACTACCCTCGACTTACAGATTTACTCAATTCTCAACCAAAAAAAAAAAAAAGTGTAACTTAACCTTAGTCACAACAGTCCTCAATTAACTAAAATAAAATATCAAAGCTTTCACAATACTCGTCTACTTATGTTTTCTTATAAATTTGGAATTATCATACTAGGTGTTTGTATTTTCTTTTTCTCTAGAAAGACTAACTTTATGTTTTTTTTAATCATTCATTCAATATAATTTAATTTAATTAATTAAAATTTTGTCTTCCTTGCAAAAAAGAGTTAGTTCTACCCCCTATCTTTAATACATGCAAAAAATAACAACAGGGCAAATATAGATTCAAAGCAGATTGATTTGAAAAGTAATGCAAATTTTACTTACCTTTAAACCGTTGTAATAGGCTTCTACTGCAGGAAATGATACATTAACTTTGCGGCTTTGAAGCATATCCCATATATAATTTGCATTGACATAATTACCCTATATCCATATAAACAAAAAAATTAATACAAATTTCCCAAAAAATTAAAATAGAAAAAAAAAAATCACATTTGTTTAAAATCACTTTTGTTTTTGTATCTATCTTTCATTCATAGTTATTCTGTTTAAATTTTGATTTGACATAAAAAAAACATTTGATCTGTTAAAATAAAAAAAGTTCTGTTCATATTTTGTTTTGGCGGCAACCAGCACATAGCGAAGGTGAGCCGTAGTCTATATGGTGTTAGATGAGACGGGCATCCAGAGACAACAATGAAGTTGGTTTATAGCGGGTGGCGACCAATGGTCATAGTAGAGGGAGGCAGAAGACAGGTGGTAGAAGGCAGTAACAAGCAAGCAGGCAAGCCACAGTAGCAGCGGCTAGCAACCCATAATTAACAAGCAGCAGAGGTGGGTCATGAGCGGTGGCTGGCAGCAGAAATAGTTGTTCTTAAAAACACCCAAAACATTTAAAAATTATTTTGAAAGTTTTTGAAACTAAGTGGATTTTCTTTTAAAATTAAAATGAACAGTATTACAAAAATATGTTAAATAAATATCTTCTAAAAAAAAGAAAAATAATCCCAAATCAGCCTCAAGTGTTTTACAAGAAATAACCACTTAGAATAAATAACTGTCCGTTAGACCACCTCTCCTAAAGACCCAACTTGAACATGCTTTGCAATTGTTTTCTAGAAAAAGAACTCTCACAGAAAGGCCAATGGCAGCTTGCTTGTTTTCTAAGAAATGCATCATAATAGTGACATCAATCCACTTACCTCATCTTTCGCAGCTGCAAGGAGAAGCTCACTCCCCAACTTGGAGTTCAAAAAAAATCCTCTAGCATTCATTTTCTCCTGCCAAAGAAGGTAAAGCTCATGATAATAGTTTATTTAGGTTAGTCATAGCAAGCTTTTACTTCTATTTTTACAAGTTACTTTATTATTATAATGGTCATTTATGCACATGCAACCCAATTCCTATGAATTTACATATCTAGCATCTAAACTTCATTTTTTACATAAAAAAAATATAACAATTTTAACTTTTAAAAAAAAAACTAAAATACATTTTTTCATGCATAGGTAATGTATGTAGAAATTGAAGTTTAGGTGTGAGATGTAAAAAGATAAGAACTAAGTGGTAGTCCCCATACTCCTTTAATATGGGTTAATATAATCCTCGGATAGGACTATTTTAACCCCCATTAAAAGATACTAGGGACTAAATTGAAACTTTAATGCGCTTTGGGACTAAAATAACTCCATGTAAAAATTCAAGGGACCATTTGACAGTTCTCTTATTATTATGGGGCATTTACATACATAACACCCAATTCTTATGTGTTTACATCACTAACATCTAAACTTAGAATTTTACATTAATAGCACCCAAATCTTTCATATCAAATTAATAAAAAAAGTAAAATGCACCTTTATATGCATAGCTAAGGTGGCTATAGGAAAAAAATTAAGTTTAGGAGTTAGATATGTAATTACATAGGAATTGAGTGGTATGTATGCAAATCTTTCTCCCTATTATTTGTGTATTGGTGCAACAAGTTTAACAACAAAGGAAAAAAAAATCTTACAAGATAACCAAAAGCAAGTTCCATCCGTTCCGGCTTCTGATCCAGCATTGCCCCTTCTATTAAAGCCTAAACAATGAATAGTAAGCACGGGATAAAAAACTGATTCATGAGCTTTAAATATACAGCCGTTGGAGCAGGATACAAAGTACCAAAGGAACATAAAAATTCTACAATCAAAGAAAATAAGTGAAGACATTTTTGAATTGTTAGATATATTAGCATTTGTGGGGATAGCCAACTAATCAAACAATCAGAAAATAAACTAAATATGCTTCAGACTAAAAAACAAGGGAAAAAAGGATGAATGATTGAACAATTTGCGGGCTATTTGTTTTCTTTTTTTTTTGTTTTTGTTTTATTTAGTTTATATTTTGATATGAAATAAAACATATTCACTACATTAAAATAAAATATGTTATATTTTTTAGGGAAATGTACATATAGACCAAAAAGGATGAATGATTGAACAATTTGCGGGCTATTACAAAGGATGAATGATTGTGTTAAAATAAATTATGTGTTTAACAAGTTTAACAACAAAGGGAAAAAGGATGAATGATTGAACATATAGAACACAATTACTATGTGTTTACACATAAAAATTGTG